CCTCTATTCGGACGTTCCGGATGAGAGCTTCGTTCCAATGCTAGAGGTGCTATGCAACATCTATGCCTCGGTCAAGTCGTTGTCTGGCCCCACGTCACGGACCGTGCGTAATCTCGCAAGGTCAAGGAGGCAGGATGAAATGGTGAATAGTCTCTATGGGTTTTTATTTGGATCTTCCGAAGAGCAAGGGCGAAGCCTGAACATTCTACGTGGAAGCGTCCACGTATTTACTGATCTTATCCGTGCGTATGGTCAGGATGGCATGCCTCGGCTTCAATTTGAGCAGTTGATGGACTCTCTATTAGTTGTCCTAAAGAAGGATGATGGCAAGCTAGAAGCAGACGTTTTGGACCTGTGCCTGAATGTTCTTGAGGGCGAGTTTTCCCACGTGGCTCTAGAAAGAGACTGGTCGGTTTTTATCAACATAATCGTCTCATGTTCGCTCAGAGCCGTTGAGGACTCTGGAGAGTGCTCAGCGTCAAGCTCCAGTTCACAGCTCTCATACCCAAGAGCGAGTGTGTTGGATGATACAAGGCCCAGCATTTTAGCCAACATTATTCAAATCGCCTCCGCTTTAGAGACAGTTTGGGAGCGCATGAACCGACAGCAAAGGCTGGAAGCCACACGTTTCCTGATGAATGTCTGTCAACATGTAGAGCCTCCCCAGGCTGAGCTTATCCTGAATACAGTGAGGGGTGAAAAGCTTTGCTTCCCTGAGAACCCTGATTGGATACGGCATTGTCAGAGGTTGATCCGCTGTTTCGTTCGATCTCGCACTAAGCCATCAGAGATTCGCATCCTAGCTTTGGATACGGTGAAGGAGGCTTTCACGAACTACGAGAATTTGTCACAATTTCGAGCGCACGGGCTTCTTAATTCCATGCTGGAAAACTTCTCTGAGGAGGATGACATTTTGTTCCTGGAGTCACTCGTATCATTTGTTGTCGACACTTCTATCCTTGTTGACGACGAAACTTCCTTCGTATTTTTAGTAGACACTCTCGGTTCGCCAATGAACAAGGATCTGAGCAAAGACGGACCACATGGCGCGGAGTCGCCAACATTAGTCTCCCCGCATTCACCCTCGATTGGCAGCATGTTGGAGTCATCTTTAGCCAACGTTTGTTCCGTTGGCTTGGTCAAGGTGTTTCTTCGTTCTTTGAACTTATCAGCGAGCAAAGCAATTCTGGTTTTCGAGGCGCTACTGAAGATAGCTCAAGCCTCGGAGAGACCAGTAGACTCTCGCTTAACAGTGCTCAAGGTGTTATTTAGGCTCCGGTGTGACTCTTCAGGGTCTATCGCAGTCCTGTCTGTTTCTGAGAATGACTTTTTGATGAATGTTTCTGCTCGAAATGCTGATTCCGGGCCCAAGCCACACACTACTGCCGATGACCACACAGGAGACTACAGTGCAGATAATGATAACCAACGGCCATCGATTTCCGGTAAACTGTCAACAAAAGACAGTGCTAGTATTTCCTCAAAGTCTTCTGGGCGAAATGCAGGCATCCCTCTACGTGCGTCAAAGTTGACACCACCAGTCTGGACATATACATCCTCCCAGGTGCTTCCTGAACAACCGCCCGATGAATCAAGCCCGTTTGTATATGCTTATACAACATCCGACACATCCCATCATCTAGAATCGGATTCAGCGCAAAAGGTTGCATTGAAAGCCAACATGTGGTTAGAAACTGTCATCTCGCTGTTGCATCGCGATACCAACTGGGATATTTACAGCTACGTTCTCACTCATCTAGCACCACAGCTTCGCAACAGAGATTTCTTTAATAATGCGGTTCCTCAAGTCAAGCTGTTGCGTAGCATACTGTGTGACCAGGTCAAGAACGATTCCTTCCGTGAACCCCCAGCATTGACTGGCGTGAAAAAGACTGATGTAGCGGGATATATATTCGATACCTTGTGCGTACTAATTGGCTATCATGAGTTCTTCGCTAAAAGCGAAGAAGACGAACTTGTGCGTTCGTTTATGATGGGTATCATTGGATCCTGGGGGGGTACTTCTCGTGGATGCATTCACGCCCTTTCCGTCTGCTGTCATGAAATCCCACTTTCTGTGACAAAATCATTGAACGGAATCCTTGACAAGATGTCTAAAGTGATCACACTGGCCAACCTCGCAGTACATATCCTGGAATTCCTTGCATTACTCGCACGATTACCTGACGTTTATATCAATCTGCGAGAAGAAGAGATTCGTACTGTCTTCGGCATCTGCATTCGCTTTCTACAGACTTCTAGAGAACAGCGCTTCAAAGCTTCGGAGTCAACAAACCGGAACCCTCAGATGTCCGCGAAACTCGGAAGTGGCGTGCGAGAGACGGCTGCTCTTCCTGCTGAGATGTCGGACCCATCCCTTCAGGACGGAATGTCAAGATATATTTATACTCTGACGCACCACGTTATGGTGTTTTGGTTCCTATCGTTGAAGTTACAAGACCGGGCGAAGCATGTCAACTGGATCACCAGCAGGCTTATATTTAGGGATGAACACGGAAAAGAAATGGTCGAAGAACAGAGTCAAGTTTTTCTTGACTTGATGCAAAGAGTTGCTTTTACCGATTTGGGCGAGACTATTCCATATGCAACATTTCCCCCGACCCCGGCGGATGGCCCTGTATCAAAGAAGTCATGGGTGGTGGGCATGAGCATAGTCACTGTGGAAATAGCTGGAGTGTCCGGCCTAACTCAAATCACGAAGAGGCAGGCATCAGGAACCACTTATGCTATGTACCAGCAACGGACTGCTCCTGTCCTCCCACATCAGGTTCCTCCAACACCCGATGCTCATCTGCATGGTGATGGCATGCGCACCGCTGTCCTTCCTAGTCACGTCATGCTTCAGCTAACAACTACGGCCTTCCCTACACCTACTGCGATGCAGCCAATTCCCCTGCCCGAGGATGACATCACCCGTCGGGCGCTCAGCACCTTCGACCGGAATGATATCGTGGATGGACACAAGATCGGCGTCATCTACATTGATGATGGTCAGACAACAGAGGCGGATATTCTTTCCAATACCAGTGGTAGTCCCGACTACGAGTACTTTTTGTCAAGACTTGGAACGAAAGTTCCTCTCAGAGGTGCTCAATTCAATACACAGGGTTTGCACCCTGATATAGACGGAGAATCTACTTACGCCTGGCGTGACCGAGTCACGGAAATCGTGTATCATGTAGTGACAATGATGCCTACCAATTTCGACAACGACCCTTCCTGCATCAACAAGAAACGCCACATAGGGAATGATTTTGTCAACATCATTTTCAATCGGTCAAACATTCCGTTCAACTTTGATACAATACCCTCACAGTTCAATTTCGTGAATATCGTTATTAGTCCTGTGAGCCGTATCGCGACTGGGTTTGAGCCTGCAAACATGGACCCGGAAGGCTACGAGAATCTCTTTTACCACGTCCAGGTAATGAGTAAACCCGGCTTTCCAGAGATATCACCTGCTGCCACGCCCAAGATAATCTCTGGAAAGAATCTGGCTGCCTTTGTACGCTTTCTTGCGCTAAATGCGTCGGTATTTTCGCTAGTCTGGAACAGTCAGGGAGGCGAACATATCTCCTCATGGCGAAACCGGTTACGAGAGATCAAAAGACTTCGGGAGCGAGCCTTAAGTTCCCAGACTCAGACCTCTGATACCGCAGAGGGCGCTTATCCAGGCCAACGTCGCAACACGAAGGCTAACATATTCTCCGAAGAACTGCCATCACGTAGTGCCCCGGCACAGTCAGATTTTGCTACCGACTGGAATGCGTCTGCGGATGCCAATATCCTCCAAAACTTGGATTTCTCTCGATGGGGACGGTGAAAGAACTTTTACTGTCTACTTTGAGGTTGAAGTACTACATGGAGCTCTTGATCTGGCAATGTTCGGTGTAGGATGAACGAAAGTAAAGGGTGGCGGGAAAAGAGAGGGAAGGAAGACCGCCATGACACTCTACCTATATTCTCATTTATGACTTCTTTACCATGATGGATTAATGTACATTTCCAGTTATTCAGCCTGTGTCAATACCCCTTTGTCTTTCTGTGCCAAAAAAAAGTTATCTCGTTTTGTTACAATCCCCACTCAATCTCAACCCTTTACTGGTGTGATTCTCTTGGGTACTGGATCCAGTATGAATTTATTGCACTTCCTCCGAGGCTCCATACGGTGGTAGGGGAAAAATATGCGTTGCTATGGACATAAAACAAGCACTGGCAGCTGCTGGCAGCGGGAAATAAAAATTTCTTGATAGAGTTTCGATTGTTGTTGGTTGGCACTCAGGGTTTCATTACCAATGTCTACCATGTACTGTAGAAGAGTTGGAAACGGCGGAATCTCTTTTTCACTATAAGAAAAGGGGAAATCTGAAATAGCCTCTTTCTGATCGCTCCCGTGGAGGGTTGATAACATATATATATATCATCGCTACCACTTCTATCAATTCGTTCAATCACTAGTCTCGAGTACAGACCACTATTATTGCCTTATTATTTACCATTTTCTCGAATGCCCCTGATCCATGGTATGCCCATATAAACAAATGCAATACAACAGTAGAACTGTTTGGTTCCAGCTCGACAACCATGAGATATAGAATGATTTGAACGTCATTTTATTAATTTTTTGTTTCGGTCAATATATCAGTACATCGTTCAGATATTAGGAATCAAAAATACAGAAGTAGAACAGCAACCCATCCCCCCCCCAGTCCTATGTAACCGTCCCCGGTCCACGTCAAAAGAATATACATAACTAAATGATTAATACATACAAGGAACAAGGTCCTCGCGGAGGCCGGTCTAGTGTCGACCTCAAATCGGCGAGGACAGCATGATATGTGGTGTGATATATGCGAGGCGAGGCCGTCTGTGAAAAGTCTTTCGGCTGGGAAAATTTTTCTGTTCGTGTTTTGTTCTCTTTCCTTTCTCAGAGTGCCCTGCCTCAATGTAGAACCAGTGCTTGGGTTCGCTTGCACGGCTTACCATCCGAAAATTTCGCCCACACTCAGCATGCTCCAGCGGACGCCAGCCACGGAGAATAAGATGAGGACAATGTCCACAACACCTAGGGCGGCGGCGCCCATCATGAAACGAGGGCTGAAAATGCGGTAGAGCATGAGGTGGCGGCGTAAATGGCCGGCCCACATCGTAGTTGCGAGATTGATGGTGGCGAAGTAGAGTATATAAGTGCAAGCCGCCTGCACTACGTCTGAGAGGATCTTAGTGGCAGGGTTGTTGGGCTTCGACGAGGTAGACCTTGACTGGTCATGAAGCTGCAAAGGCCGCTTCCAGAGAACGGTGAGAGGAACAGCAACAGCTGTGAGAATTTGGGGACCAAAGGTGTTCAGAACCACTAGGATCGGAGACCAGGGGTACTTGACTGAGGAGAGGGGTATAAAGGCAGTTTCCCACTGTATGCTGCTCAAAACTGCTTGGTGGCCTGTCTTGAAAAAGTAGAAGGAACCGAGAAGCGCCAGAACAATTGGTCCAATGGCTGAGTTACCCAATACCAGTGCATTTGTGTCAAGGATTTCAAGCAAAGATAATATTTGCCACAGCAGCAGACCCATGGTACCTTGGCCCATAGGTTTCTGCATCAGAACAATGGCTAAGCAGAAATTGACGACAAGAAGGAAGAACCGCGTCCCATAGATGTTGCCGAAGCCCAAAATAGTGACGGTTGTCCTTCCCGGCTGCGATGGAGAGGAAGTTGACTTGGATTTATTCTCGGAGTCAGCAGTGCCTTGTGTAACGCTGATGCTAACGCACGGCTTCGAGTATATGAAAGCCGTTGTACCAGCAGCAAAGGCAAGGCCAAGAATAAGCTGAGCGAGAAGCACTCGAATCGACTTCAGTGTTTCCTTGCTCAAAGACAGCCATTCACCATCATCCGCACCTTCGAGCATCCAGAAGATAGCAGTCAAAAACAGCCCTAGCCGAAAGCCATACCCGACCCACAAAGTAGCAGATCCTTCGTAAGACTTCGACCCGGCGTAGAATGACTTTATAACTGCGGGTAGAATGAGAGTGACGAGGAAAGGTATGGCGAGTTGCCACGGGGCAGATGTAGAGGATGTTGCGGATGCATAATAGGTCGAACGACAGAACGGCATCTGCTCCTCACGACAGAGGCGAGAGAACGATGCTACTCTTCCTAAGATGACAAATAGTATTGAGTGATAGACTCCCAAGACCCTGTCGGCTGTCGACTTTTGGCGCATCGAAGATACGCCAGCAACAACACCAAAAGTGGAAAGGAAAAACAACAGAATCTCATCTTCCCAGATGGTGTAGGAATTGGAAGCGAAACCGACCGACTGAGTCATGGTGAACATTACAGCGAGCCAACCCCACAAGGAGTTGGGGACAGGCAAGCTCAAATGGCCAGGCTTCACGAAAATCACCCATGACGCGCCAAGTATACTCCCGACGGCGGCCCATAAAGCGGATGATTCTGTTATCGGCATATCTGCCAGACCACCGAATGTCAAACAACCACCGACCACAGCGCCCAAGCCGGAACTTACTCCAACAGCAGAAAGGAGTGGCGTTGTGAGCTCTGTGCGGTCTGATCTCATACCACGAGCATAAAATACCAACAGGACAAGTCCTGCGAAGAGTATTCCCACACCCTGTATCATGCTCGGGACATCAAATTTAGCCCACAATGCACGACATATATCGAGCGTGTGGCGCTGGTATTCCCTATATGACTGGTAGACGGACTGCATGGCCTCGGTATTCGACTTGCCGCGCTTTGAGGACTTTTGCCAGGCATCTTCCGCTGTCTCCCAGAAGTTTAACGACCGGAACTCTCGGCCATCATCAGCCCCCCGCGTGATTGCGTACTCGTGCTGATACCTCTTAATTTGAGCAGATGTCAAACGATTGACAGCAACCAGATTCTTCCAATCCTTTCCCCCGGGTCCTGCGAAAGCCTCCTCAATTGGTGATCCAAGGTTGTTGAAAGGGATCGGCAACCCGAGAAGCAATGACAGCGTCGGCACAAGGTCGATCTGAGGAACAGATCGCTCGCGCGCAGTCTTCGGTGGCACGACAGTATCGGGGCTGGTGCGACCAAAGAACTTTCTCTTCGAATACATCCATAGAGCAGCGTCCACTTCGTCATTCGATTCACCTCCATGATCACCTTTCGAATCCATACCATGGTCACCCATGACAACCAACAGAGTGTTGTCATCAACCTTTGCAATGAGATCCCGGATGACCTGATCCATTTGCCTCAACTTTGCACCCATGGCTGGATGGTTGGGACCATAACGGTGGCCGGCATGATCAACCCCGAGGTAATGACCAAATATAACATCCCATTTTGTGGCGTTCTTCGGGTGTAAGAGGGGGAACAAATGATCATTTACGCCATTGTCAACCGTGTGCAAATCCCACACATTGAAAGAATCGAATGGCCGCGTCAGTTCGGGATCAAAGTAGTCAGGGAATAGACTATGCCAGGTATCATCGCCGAGGTGCACCAGATTCTTTCCTGCGGTACGCAGCTGAGCGACTAGGTTGTCCTCATCGATTGCCGTGCCAGCGAAGTTAGAGCCTGCATCTACGAAAGTCGGCAAGGTCCCAGTTGTCAATCCTTTGAGGCGCTGGAGCGTCGTGGTAGGCGGATCCGCAATGAAAGGCAATAAGAAAGCGTGTTCTGGAGTATTGACGGCAGTTTCGTACAAGACGGGTATATTATCGTGGAACAATTGGGAAGTTTCATCCTCTGCTGTTGCCACGAATGGGACGGTAAAATCGTACCTCAAAGCATCTACGACAATCACAATGGCCTTCTCGAACGACTTATGGTGCCAACATCCTTCGTTTTTCTTGCCCACTGCCGAATGCGATGATGCATCTCCGAACGGAAGTACATCGCAAGACGACTTGTTCTCCAAGACCATCCGAGTCAGCAAAAACCCCTTGGTAAAGAAAAAGATTCCGACAACATGGAGGAGCCTGTAGTTCATTATCCCGCATTAGAAATTTCAGCTCTAAGATGAAAGAACGCCTGCGACCATTGAAAGACAAGCTCACAGTATCCAGCCAAGCACACCAAGTGAGCCCAAGTGCCTGAGTTTGAAGTCCCGTTCCAAGCCATCATCGACACTCTCTTGCCCATTGTTCCCATTCCCTGGCCGGGACTGCCTCCCTGTCAGTGCCTTCGGTACCGGGGCTTTCTGCATATCGTTGCGTTCCGATGGCCGTTGGGGCGACGCGGTGGTCTGAAAGCCACTGAGGTCGGGTCTATCAGATCCCGACCCCAGACTTGATCCGGATGCCATCACGGGTAGGAGGTTACCGAGTCTGTTGAGGCCGTATTCATCTAAAGCGACCAGGAAGTGAGTTGCCTTTCACGGCAGCGCAACCGGGCGCTGCGGGTGAACAAGTCGGTAGGTGTAGCGTTTTCTCACGCAGAAGCTGATGTAAGATAGGGGTGTCAAAGAATTTTAGAAATTGAAACTGGACACATTGAAATTGAAAAGGGAGTGGGGAAGGTGTGGCTATCCCTTAGTCGTCTTTCTGGCGGTCCAAAATTTTCAAAGCTGTGGACGGCCTCGTGGTGAATTGGATCACTGAGCAGACATGATCACCCCAAGGACTCAATCGCAGACATGTAACATGGGCACGAATAAGTAAGAATTGCAAGTTGCTTTCGCAAAAGCCCGAGAGATGAGACTCGGGGCCGGGACGCGCACGATACAACGAGCCCTTTCGCACATCCCAAATCTTTCCCCCGTGACGTCGGGCACTCGGCGCTTTCGGGACGCCAACTTGGGAAATCCCTTACTACCATTGGCCGGCACGGTTCGGAACATCCAGAACCCTGAAGGTTGGTGGGGCACCTCCGAATTGGGACAACTGTTTACTGGTTGCGGTAATTCTATAGTTCCCATAGTCTACAAGTAGAGATTTGGTGCGCATTCTTAGCATGACCTAGGGCCACCTGGCGGCGAATCATTGGAATATTATAGAGCAAGAACGGAGACATCGCAATCTGAATGAATGAACGCATCCATTGAGGCCCACACAATAGTGGTACAATACGTTGTCAGACTAGTTACATACATTATCCAGTTGTAAGACACCCTAAAGGCAAACCGAGAATTGCCGGGACGATGATGGTAGGATAGTAGAATAGAACGTTGAAAAAACAAAGACAAAAAGGCCAGTGGGAGAAAAGAAAAGAATCCCCTCGAAGGAGAATGAAATCGAAAGATAATCCAACAAACATGTGCGTAACGTCTTTCCAACCCTAGTGACGTGGCAGGGTGAAAGGATCTAAGTGACCAAGCACAAGAAATGAACGCCTTTGGTAAAATGATTGTTGATAAAAATAGGGAGGGAGGGAAAGAACTTGAGAATTAAACCAACAGCCCTTTGCTATACACAATTCAGCTGAGGTATGCCTTATAGTTCCGTCTTCGGGTGGGCCAGGCGAATATGGCCCCACGAGACAAGAGTGAAACTCCAAATCGCCGAAGATCAGTAGTGCAGGGGTCAGACGGGAGATATCAGTCCGCGTATGTGCAAGTCACGAAGATACAACGAAACGCAAGTGGCGCTATATAAGAAATAGAAAAATCTTCGCCGGAATATCGTCATGCCTTTTGAAATCGTCGAAGAGGAAGAGGATGGAAGGGGTATCACAGATAGAATAGACGGCCGCTGGTATCTAGTTATCAGCGGTTCGTTTAAGACCATCTTTTTACATCCTCTTTCTCCTTAAGTCCGCCCATGCGCTCAATATCCAAGGATTGGAAACGCTCCGCATCACTGGACTGATATGGCGGCAGTTCGTCATGGCATGGCTCCAGTCCCACGCCGCCAGCATCGCTAATTCTCACAACCACCATGCGTCCAGATTTGCGCTTTCCAGATTCATCCTCCTCCTCGGGGAACGTAATGCGGATCTCCGGGACTGGGCTAGGTGGAGGGCTCGACGAGTTCTCCATGAGCCTCCTCTTCTCATCGTAGACGAGAACGGATTCGGTCTTGGAATATGGCGGCGCAGAAATCGTGAGGCTGCGGTGATGAGTCGTGCACTGACCGTTATGGACCGGGAGTTCGGATCGCTTCCGATTTTGGCGCTTACGACGCAAAACAAGAAGGGCACCAACCAGGGTAATACCGACTAGAACGAGAACTAGAAGAGCGATCAAAAGATCGACCATGGCCGGAGTAAGTCTATCATCGTTGCTTTTTTCATCGCCACGGGCGACAAGTCTTTTGAACAGGTGCATCATTTTGGATGGTCGAGTTTTCCGGTAGGATACGGTTCTCGGATTCGGCTTTCGAAAAATATTTACTGTAACGCTATTCGTATCGACAAGACAGGTGGAGAAGCAAAGTTCAATAAAGATCCAGATCGTACTGCCTACCACCCACTATCAGCGCTGTACTAGGCTATGACATGGTGGATAACACTTACTCAACGTTCCAGCAAAGTGTCTTCACTGGAAGGAGAAGAATATAACAATAAGCAGGGGGCTATCTGGTGATAGTCGTGGCGTTTTCAAGACGAAAAAAGAGGGAATGTATCAGGTCGGTCGGGCGGTCTGAAAAGACGGGGTCGCAGGACACAATGGATCGGACTGGGATAGGAGAAAGAATGGACAGCGAGGTGAACAGCTGAAAGAGTGAAGCCGACACCTGCTTAGGATAGAAAGAACGTGACGAGAAAGGAAGGAGGAAGAATGGATTGAGGGCCGGTATGAGTGGAATGAAAGCCAAGGGAAGAAAAACAAAAAGAGAAAGGAAGGGAAGGAAAGGGTCAGACGGGGACCAAGAGAAAGAGAGCGAGCGAGAGGAGAGGAGAGACAGGCGCCTACTGCAGTACGAACGCACGGTCAACCAGCCGGTACAACAGGAACGAGGCGCAAGGGTGCCCACAGGGCCAGACCGTCGAGCGAACACCCAGCAAGGGTGAGTTGGTCACTAGCCAACGACAAAAGATTGCTAGTCTTAGACTAAATGCCAAAAGGATCCACCAGCCCGTTGTTTGTTTGTCCATTTCCTCGATGGTGCCTCTTGGCTGTTGGCTGGCGGCAACGCTAAAGGCAGTTGTAATCTCCCCATCGCCGAGATTTCGCCCTATCAGAAGGCCGTGGTCCCTGAACGAAGCCTTTTTCAACGGACTTCAGCATTCCTATTCGTTGATTCCCCTGGTGATTGATGCTAAATTCCACCTGGCATTTGTTAGGCATGTCCATTTTTGGACTCGGGCCCCCACTCGACCTTGTTCATGACTTCTTTTTTTGGCTCCCGTCATTCTTTTTTTTTACCCCTGAATGGTATGATCCAGACTAGGTACATATTTACGGCGTAGTACTGCCAATTGTTCCGTCGGATTCAAGAAATAAAAATAAATCCAGGAGTCGTAGCCATAGAGACATATAACATGCACTGCTTTACCATCTTGTCATATGCATTGCAGCGAAGGTTTTTGCATACATATCCAGAATAAACTCTGAGCCGCGCCCTGGCTGCACTTCCGTCGCAACTGGCATGCGACTCTCTCGGATATCCCTGAATGATTGCATGGTTTTCCATGCATTCCATACAGTAAAGATGTATGTCTCAGACCACAACGTGTTTGTCTCTGAATCATTTGGAAGTGTGAGAACTTCCTGAGGGCGACCTCAACTTCATATGATCTCACTGTGGAGTAAGTATGGTACTGTGTGTCTATACTAATTGAAATCAAGGCAGGACAACAAATTTAGGGCATGATATCACCGCCAGCTCTCCCGATTATCCAACCCTCCCTGTGTCCACTGGTTGCCCTATTCATTGGCATACGATTAGGGAGTTATACATATGTCTATTTGGAGACATCTGTGACATCATTGTTTCCTTGCCTATAAAAGGAAAGACAACCGATATTGTTTGATTTCCGCTCTTGAGAACGCCGAGGTCAAGTGTCCCGGGGGTGACATGTGGAAAGTGGGATATTCAGTAAATATAAAATTATACAACTGCGTCTCACAAACCATATTGGCTACTGCGGAGTAGATGGAAAATACCGGAGAGATGACACCCCCAACAAGTATAAGCTATAGAAAACCATCCAAGCTACTGATCTAAATCAAGCCTTCGGAAAATTCCGGATTGGTTCAAGGTCGCTTGGGTCATCGGTGCCAAAGGCTTCTCTCCAGTTGGCCTTTGCCCTTGATGTGGTCGGCTACCTATCCAAGCCTCTGTACTCTGTTTCAAATTAGGTCGTCGTCTACTTGCGTCTGTTTGCTACACCTCTTCGTTCAAGCCTATCATGACTTTTGATCTACACTCCCACCAGATGACCCAACGACCGAGCTAAGACACTCTATTACATGACGAATATATGAAAAAATC